ATCTCCTGTTAATTCCCCTCTTCAAGTTCTCCACTGCCTTAACCAGGTATTTTGGGTCCTGTCACTGAATCTAACCAATGCCTTTATCCACTGTGTCATGTGTCCTTGAGTGTACATAATACCTCATCTCAGATATATAGACAGATACTGTAGCCATAAGTTCTATGATAACAGTTTCTTTTCTCACACTTCCCACTTGTGGAACTCCTTTTTGGTTCCATGCTTTCCAGCAAATTTTAATCTTCAAAAATTTAAATGCAATGTCAATTGCTATCTACTGTCCTCCTGATTACTTTTTTTCTTCCTTCTCATTATTAATGTTTTTGTTCCACTTTCAAATCTTGATAGAGTTCAAAAGTGTCTCTGAGTCTTTGTGGGTGATTAATTATTTCCCACCCTCCAACCTCTCTCTCACCTGTACGATGGGATGAGCCTCTCACTGTTCCATTACTACTTCCATGGGAAGTGCTCAGACAAATGACATTCCTTAGTTCCAACAGTCTTAACCTTCAAGGCTAGGATCTGACATACCAATTACCTTGTAGAAAACCACCCACATTCCCTCCGTATTCCATAGATGAGAAGTAAGTTCCACTCAAACAGATTCTTCTTGTGAGTCACTGCTCTGTGGAACAGACTCACCACACTCTTAACCTGTTCAAGTCTAGAGTTAACCATTATCTTTCTCTCCTATCCATATAAACTACCCCTTAATGTAACCTCTACCTTGAATAGCCCCTGGGCCTTGTATAGGGTGAAACTTACTGTAAAAAAAAGAAAGAATACAATAGACTGAGCATGTGAATAATGAGGAAGTCTATACTTAGAGTCAGAAAAGACAGTTGAAATTTTGAGGACATAATGAGGGAAAGAGGGCATGAAAAATTTGACATATTGAAGGTAAGAGGTACAGAGGGAAACAGCAAATAACCTAAGAAGTTTGCCCTTTTTGTTTGTATGTTAATCCTGAAGGCTCCCTCTTGAATATAGAGCAAAAACTTCACAACATTAGGTGTTGCTGCTGCAATTTCTCTAGCAGTTAGGTATTTTATGGAATGGAGTTGCTAGTCTCAAAAGCAACTGGTTTAGGATTCAGAGTTGTCCCTTTCCTAGACTAGTTGCCAAATAAAGCTAGCAAGTCGAGTCTAACTCGCTATTAATACATATCTAGCAGTGGGTAGAGAAGTAATAGATTCATTCTTTCCCAATTATATTTACATGAAAGTGAATGCAACAGTGTTGCCTGGAATTTGAACCCAGAATGCCAATTTAGTTTTCCATACTGATCACCCCTATACTACATATACACCTATGATAAAATAAAGAACAAATAGAAAATGTATATCAATCTAACATGTTCCACTTTTAAAAAGTGAAACATGTTAGTTTGATATATGTTTCCTGTTTGTTCTTTATTTTGTCATCTGGTTGGATTATGATCTGCATTTGATCTTTAACTCATATACATCCATATACAAACAAAATAATAATATAATTAATAGTGGTTCACTATTATTTAAATTAGTATTATAATAATAGTAATTTGTAAATAAAATAAGCATTAATGAATTATTAAAGTGAATCAAAAGTATTTTCTCTTTTTTTACAAACATTTACTCCAATACAGAAAAAATATTAAGCAAACTTCATGTCCACAAAAAAAAGGAGTGTAAAAAGGACAGTTTTTCCCTTAACACCACTATTATTTTAACTACCTTCACTCCTCGGCAATGTTTATTGTTTTCAAAAGCGGTAATTAGAACTGTAAAAAAAAACTTAATACTAATCATTTTTTATGAGTATTTCTTAATCTAAGTTGCCTTTTATTTTAAACTTTCCAACTGTCAATCCACAATCATTAGTAAAACGTGTAAGAATAAATGATAAGCCTGTGGCAAGATTTAAACTTGCATAACCTCTCCTCAGGAAGCCTGTCTGTCTAGAGCAACTGTTTTATCGATTATGAAAGCAGCACAGATTGGAAATAAAGAATAAGCCTTGAGCAAAACTGAAACTTCCATTACTGTTCCTTAGCAAGCCTGCTCTGCTTACTAAAGACCACAGAACAAAAGTCTTGGAGTTGCAAATAAAATAACCCAACAAAATAAAATGAAAGAAATACTCATAAAAAATTACTAATAATTAACAATGCTACATCAATAACATTCAAATAATATTAACATAATTCTTAGCTATCAAAAATTTTATATGACAATGGTTTTTGAAAAGATATTCTTTTTTATATTTTACTACTTTCATCCCATAATAGTTTGCATATTCTTATTATGATTATTAGCAAAAAAAATTTAAAATGTCTTCATGTTTAGTTTGATCAGTTTGATAGGGTCAAATTGACAGCTGATCTCAAAAAATGATTTACAATCTCCAGTTAACTGGGGTAAAAAAATGTCTTGCTAATTTTATAACTCCCCAAAATGAAATTACTCTCTTTTAATCACCCAAGAGAATCTTTTTTGCCTACCATCAGCATGGCTGATGCTAATCTCCAGGCAAGTGATTCATTGTTCCTTCTGGGGCTAACGTTTTCCACTGATATGAAGTGGAAAAATTATATTGAATCACTTGGTAAGTCA